TCTCATGAGAGACGACTTGTGGGATGATGAGCAGAAGTTCTCACTCTGCAGAAAGGGGAGAACGTGTTCCAGGCAGAAGGGCCAGCCATGGGCGAAGACCCGGAGAGATGAAAACAGCAAGGTGCCTTACGGGTACCTCTGATCGGACACCACGGCTGGGACGAAAATGTACCAAGATGGCAGCCGGGGTGGGTGTCCAGGCGGAGGGGTTCGCACGGTGTCAGAGGCCACGTCACGGAGACACTTAGCCTGTGGGCTTTGGGAGAAGCAGAAGAAGGGTGGGCTCAGATCTGCACCTTGATGAGATGTGCCCGGTGCTCGGGACTAAATGTTTGTGTCCTGCAAAACTTTACAGAGTGAAACCCTAGACCCCGGGCTGATAGTGGTAGGAGGCGGGGCCTTTGAGAGCCGATCAGGGCATGAGGCGGGAGACTGAAGAGAGATGGTCTCTCTCTCCACTGTGAGTTCCTAGCAGGACAGCCTTCCCCGCTGCAGGAAAAGGGCCCGCGTCAGAAACCGACCCCGCCGGCCCCCTGATCTCGGACCCGTCTGTTGTTTACGCCCCCTCGGCCTCTGGTAAGTGTCGCGACAGCCCGAGCTGGCTCAGACGCCCCCTGCAGGACGAGCTGGATGATGGCTGGCTGAACGCGGAACCACTAGTCGGAAGGTCGAGCAAGACTCAAGGCCAAAGATGATTATTTCACAGACGTGAGGCTGCTCGGCACACGGTGACCCGGAGGGGCTTCTGCCCTCCGCCCAAGGTCCCCGGGGGCTTCCGGTTGCTGTCCTCCCCCCCGACCTCCTCTCCCACGTCCCTGCTTCAGGGAGGGCAGCTCCGTCTCCAAACACTTTATGTAGTTTACTCATCAAAGGTCTCAGTGCTTTAAAAAAAATTAGCCATGAATTTAAATGCTTCTTTCTTGGCACATAGAGATCCGTGTCTTGCCTCAGTCCACCGCTACTCGGGGAAGGTTCTAGAAACATACCCTTGCTATGAGAACAGTTGAAACTGATTCCGGGTATCCGCTCTCACCCTATTCTGCCAGGTATTCGTTCCCACGGTTACGTCAGCAGTAGGTTGGGCAGAGGAGGCACTTGCCCGATTTTAAATAAAACATTTCAACAGCTAGTCTAGTAAATATTACCGGTCAAGTAAGTAGAAATGGATTTTGGAAACACAGTCTGAAAACACAAATGAACTACCCGCCTACTGCCATTTATTCAAGATAAAAATCTGGTACTGAAAAGTCAGGTCTCATCTTCTAAAGTCGGCCTGCTCTCACGTCCACTGACACAAGAAAGACAGCATGTCGTCCAGCCGGAGGCCAACCTGAAGGATGAGTGCTCATAACATCGATCCCAGCGAAGGGCTGTGACGCAGTGGTGCCCTCGTGCCCAGGACTGGGAGGGCTTTGCTGGACGATGCCCCATTTGGTCCCTACAGCAACCCTATTATGCGGTTATCCTTTTATTAAACCTTAATCACCACCTAACGACTCCGTCTCCAGATACAGCCACACTGAGGGTTAGGGCTGTGACGTATGACCAGGCGAGAGGGGACACAATTCGGTCCAGAGACGCCTCAGAGCCTGCAGGAGGCAGAGCCGGGATTAGAACTTGGGCGGTTCGACTTCAGAGCAGCAGTGAGACAGGTCCCCATCTCTGCCCTCGCCTCCTCCTCCGCTCCCACCCCCCAGGGACCCGCTAATGCACCCCCCTCACGGGGAGTGATCCTTCTCGCCCCTTCTCCCCTTTGCCCTGGGTGTCTTAAGCCCACGGGTTACGAAAGATCTTTGTTTCCGAACCGGGTGAAAATATTGCGCCTGACGAGCAGCTCGGGTCAGCACGGGTGCGGGAGCTCACGTGATTCGTCCTTTAGAGATGAAACTGTCGCGAAAGCTAATCCATGTCCCGCCTTCGCCTGCGCCGGTTACGGAGCGGATCAGCTCGAGAGAAGGATGATGAATTCAAGGCGGCAGTGTCCTAGGAAGCCAGTGAGCAAGGCCACGCTGTTCCCGCCAGGGCAGGAGAGGCGGCCGGACGGAGGCCCAGCCGGCCGGGCTCCGTGCGGGGGAGACGGGGGTGTGGGGGCTACGCCGGGAAGGGCCAGGGCTTCTCCCAGCGGCTGGGTAGAGGGCTCACGAGGGTGGGCCGGGAAGCCAGATGGCCTGAGTTCAAGGCCCGTCTCCTCTACGTACTAGAAGAGTGACTCAGTTTACCCCAGCTGCAAAACGCGGTAATGATGTCAAAATGAAAGGAAGCGAAAGAGGCTCTTAGGTGGTAAAAAGAAGAAAGAAGCCGAAGAAGACACTGACCAATGCCAGTGAACTCAGCGGGCGCTTCCCAACCAGCGCTAAAACCCGTCGGCCCCGGGGGATCGCCCGGAGCTCGGTCGATTTGGGCAAGGTCAGGAGCTGCTTCGAGCCCGGCTTTCCCGCACCGAACTCTCAGGCCGTCATGAAGACTGCGGTCCTGACACGAAGCACAGGGAGCAAGCGCTGACCACGTGGCCGGCACGGTCGCCCCGTCCTCGGGAACGGCTCCCAGTCTCCCTCGGCAGGTCCCCTCCCTCCTTCCCCTGCTTCCCCCACCGACTCCAGAATGGGCACAGGATCCGAGCCGGGTCCACCACGCCAGCCGGCGACCCTCGGCCTCTGCTGGGGCCGTTCCCTCGGAGAGACTGGAACGGCCAGTGGTCAGCATGAGTCGTGGCTGTCAGGATAAAGTGAACACAGGGCACAGCAGGATATAGAGACCGAGTCAGCTGGAAGTACACTTTTTAGCTATAAAACCCAAGAAATTGCCTTTTGTGCCGAAGCAAGGGTAAGTCTGTCCCCTAAACCTAAGTACTGACCAATGGATTGTCACTCACTGTCTGAAGGGGCATCATCTATCTGTCATCCATCCATCAGCATGTATAAGCGCGCACATATATAGAACCTTGGACGGTGAACATTTTCAGGGACAGAAGATACACTTTCATATTTTTTCCCCTCAGGTAATTCTCGAAACAGTCCTAGCAGTAAACGGGATTATTATCTCCATCAACAGGGGAGACATGGAGGCCAGAGAGTTTGAGAGGCGACTCCAAAATCAAACAGCAGGTCCACCCGCTTCTTGCCGACGACGGGAATACGACGTCATCAGAAGCTGACGTTTGCAGAGTGTACGCATTTACCCAGCACTTCACGGAATTAAGGGGTGTCTGTCATTATCTGTTGGCGTCTTGGAGACCATGAACAGAGCATCAAGAAAACAGTGCCTGACAAGGGGCAGCTCTGCCATCAGCCCCCTCCGACACCTGTCACAGCTCAGACATTCATCCGACCCCCTTGGCTCACTCGGAGGGCTCCCCCGTGGGAAAGCCTGCATGGAGGGGTCCCCCGTGGGAAAGCCTGCACGGAGCGGTCCCCCGTGGGAAAGCCTGCACACAGAGACCTCTGTCTCAGCATTCCTTACGTCGGCAAGAACGTTACAACAGCCCCACGTGACCTCCACGGCAGGATTAAAGTTCGATGTCTGGTCGAATGTCTCTAAAGTGGAAGGTTCTATGGCCATGAGAAAGGATTTAGGAAAAGTCTGCGATCGTGAGATCACGCTCTTACGAGACCACGGATTTGAAGAAGCAGAATACAAAATGTCACGCGTGCGTCTTACACCAACGACAGACATGGACATGACGGAAGCGGGACAAGAGGCGGCACACGCCAAAACACGGCCCGGACGCGCCCGGAGCCCGGATCCCCGCTGCCTTCCCAGGTGTCTCCTTTTCTGGATTTCGCCACGAACGTTGTCGCTTTCCTGATTTGAAATTTGCTTTTAAAAAAATCGCTCGTACAGCAACCAAAACACGAAGGGGCCGATGCCCCCCAGACGACCACGCTGTGTGAACCACGGCCGGAGACACGGCCCTCCCTGCGCTCTGCTCCAGGGCCCAAGCTTGCGTTTCGAAAGCCTGCTGCTCAGGTGCTGGTGCCTAACACGCGCTTTGGCTTTTCCCCAGCGAAACGCCCGAGTCTGTGGGGTCCGCCAGCTAAACCTTGATTTTTTTTCAAACAGGACAACAGATGCCCCCCACCCTTGTTCTGTCACCCGGTGTTCAGAGTGCTTCTATGAGGCACAGTCGGAATAACTGGTAGTGGGAAGCGCACAGGCCGGACCAGACTCTCCCAGCCGGGGTGGCCGTTGATCGAGGAGCCGTCAACTGAGATGAAGAAGGAAAGAGAATCTGTTTCCTGTCCCCTCCCCCATCAACAAACCCCACCTCAGGAGACATTTAGTCCGTGCCGCTTGCGGGTCCGACACTGCGTTAGACTCCCAGAAACAATGAATCTAGAGACAGCTCTCGCTTTTGAAGCCTCCTGGCCAAAGTACCTCATGAGCTGGGCGAAAGGGACACACAGGGTTTGGTTAGAGGAAGCTGGGCAGCCAGGGGAGATGGAAGTTTCCAGAAGAGGAGATGTCACATCCAAAAGCAGAAAGGCAGGGGGCCATCAGCAGGGGGGCATTTTTTGGGGGGGGATGCAAATTTAAAGCAGAGATAATAACCAGGGATGTGATAGAGAGAAGGTTCCAGAACATGGATCCCAGTGGGCCGTGTGGGCTGGATGCAGAACTCAGAAGTCAGCAGCATGTCCACACGGGCAGCCATCTGAGTCTTCCTTGTTATCGATACGACAGGTGTGATTTTCTGAAAAGTCAAACTCCCCGAGAAGACGTCACTTGGCATTCACTTACCACGCTCCACGTGTTCCCAGACAGATGAAAACCTTCTCTTCCAGATTTATTTTCAATTCTGATTCATCAGGTTAGAGAAGAACTAACGTGAAAATTAAACGTCTAATTTCATCGGAAAATGTACCGTGCAAAAACAGGCACCAGAAAATGTACTCTGCGAAATATCCACATGAATATTTACAGCACAAGATGCCTTCCATCAGAGCCGTGCTGGCCTTTGGTCCCATAACCAGGGGACCAAGGGCCCGGACGGGGTCACTCACCACAGATTGACCAGGAAAGGGTGCTCCAGCCCCTGCATGATCTGGAGCTCCCGGAAGACGTTGCGAACCTCGTCCCTCTCGATGCACTGCTGCTTGTTCATGTACTTCATCGCGTACATTTGCTTCGTGTCTCGCTTCTGCACGATGCATACCTGAGCGACAAACGGGAGAACGTTCAGGCCAGCGGTTTAACCAGGAAGCAGCGGCCCTCCCTGCGCTCTGCTCCAGGGCCCAAGCTTGCGTTTCGAAAGCCTGCTGGTGGCGCGGCTCTGCTGTGCCACCACCTGCCACACCTGTCAGATGGAGGAGCCGGACCACGTTCACCTGTTTCTTAGATATTTACGCTCGGTATTGGCCAGCACAGGAGCTCACAGCCCAGGAGGAAGCAGACACACGCACCTGCGTCTACAACGCTGAGATACACGGGCTCAGTGCCACCTGCCTGCCCCAGCCCCCCACTTCAGGGCACGCCATCCAGGCCTCTCTCTGCCGGGAGAGCCCACTTTGTGGCCCACACGACAGACCAGAGATGCCAAGGAGTTCCGGCCAGCGGGAGCCACGCCCGACCGGTGCTGGGGGTCGGGCATCTTACCCCAGCCCTGTGGCCCATCCAGTGGGATGAGTCTGGGGCTCCTAGAGTTTGAGATTTTGCCCACGGGGGTGACTGGCTCGATGGCACACCCTGTACTGAGTCTCCCTGCCTTTCCTTCCCCGACTCACTTCCCACCTCATCTACCTGTGCCGCCCTCATCTCTCCCGTGCGCTACACTCACATCCCTGCCTCCGAGCCTGCTTCCGGGGAACCCGAACCAGGGCACGTGGGCACGGGGGGTACAGAAGAGGTGGGGACAGTGCTTCACTGCCACTGGCTGGACACTAAGCAAGCCGTCCGCTTGGTCCCTCCCTCAGTCCCCACGAGAACCCTGTGAAGAAAGCCGCAGAGAGATGGCCAAGGCCAAGGAGGAGGCTTCTAGGGAAAGGAAGACACGGAGGCCTCGGACACGCGGCGAGGAGAGAGGCGGCGGACCGGGAGTGTGCCCCATGACCAGCCGACGACCATCCACCCCTCCCAACAGCCCGCGAGGCGCTGTATGGCTTCCTCCAGCCGCCACTATCATTGTCCTCATTTGACAGATAAAGGATGAGAGGCACAAAAGGATTTCAGACCTTCCTCACACATCGGGACTCAAACCCAGGCGCTCCGCACCCCACCAGCCAGTGACACCTCCTCCCGGAGGACAGGGCACGTGAGAGAGAGTACCAGGGATAGATCATGGGCCTGGGGACCTGGCTAAGGAGCCGGGGGCTTTCTCCAGGCGTCCCAGGTCCTTCTCGGAAACCGGACCCCTTCAGCTCCGACCTGTCTGAGGCAGATGCAAGACAATGCGCTGACTTCCGACTCCGGTGTTGGTTCCGCCTCTTGGAGCCTCAGCCTCAGCTTCGGTCTGAGCCGAGTTAGCAGAGCCCACGCGGCACCACTGGGGTGACACTGAGAAAGGCTGGGGCAGTGAGAAGGCCCAGCGGTATGAGGGGGACAGTCAATATCACGTGAATCTTCATGCCTTAATGAGCACAGTTCACGAAACATCCAAAAGGATGTTTCTCCAGGCAGTAAAATTAGTGGTATAAAAGCCCATGGAACTTCCTTTTCCAGTGAACTTGAAACTGGACGATGCCAGGAGGCAAAGCTGTGTTGTTCAGAAGCTCCGTGGTGCCCTGGCTTTGTGGGGATCCTAGCAGAGACTTCTGGAGGCCTGGGCGTGAGTCCCCGAGACCCGCATCTGCAGGCAGACACGCGGCGGGCCGGCCATTCCACTAATTAGGAGTTCCCACCCCTCACTTCTCATTTGTCTTCTCGGAAGAGGCGTCCAGTAGACCCTGCGTCTGCCGGCACTTGGAGCCCTGAGGTCCAGCCGGCTGCCCCCACCTCGGGCTGCCATTAGACCAGCCTATGCAATGACGGTTAATTGAAACGAACAGATGCTAGCGAGCGTGGCCTTCAACGGCGATGTGGGCTGAATTGTGTTTCCCAAAACCCATATGTTGAAGCCCTCATGAGGTACTTTAGAATTTGACTGTATTTGCAGAGAGTCTTTAAAAAGATGATTACAGTTGAGTCAAGAGGGGGGCCCTGACCCACTATGACTGGGGTCCTCACAAAAAAGTAAATAAAAGGGAAATTTGGAGACAGACTCACGCAGAGAGAGAAAAGAGGTCGTGAAGATGGAGGGAAGAGACGCTCACCTATGAGCCAAGGAGAGAAGCCGCAGGGGAAACTCACTCTGCAGACAGGACCTCGGTGTCTGGCACTCGCGGAGGCCCCCTCCCCCCCCGTCACGTCGGCCCCCCGTCTGCGGGACTTTGCCATGCAAACTCCACATCACTTTCTGTCCCGAGGGCCCTGTCGAGCTCCTGAGGGGTTCTGAAAGCAGATGCTAGGCGTACGATTGTGAACGAATAAATAAAGGAATGAACAAAAACTCGGAAAATCTGAGATCGGGGGAGGAGGGGCGTTCCCTCTGACAGCCGGATGGAAGCGTCCTGAGAGGCGATTCCAAGAGGCGACGACCGTGTGCTTCATAAATAATCCAGCGCCACTGCCACATCCATGACGGTCCCCTCCGGAGTCACGAGGGGAATGACAGTGTCCAGAAGCGACAAAGGCCAGGAGGTGGTGGGGACGAAGGCACAGAACCAGTCCTGGTGCTTCTGACGCCCACAGCACTGGAACTGTGCTGCTGAGGGCGAGGCACGGCTGGACCCGCTGTGCGCGTGCAAAGGCCTGGGAAGGCCCGTGGGCGGGCAGAACGAGCCGGCATTGTGGGGGGATGTCAGGGAATGCAAACAAGCACCGACGTCTGGAAGGAAGCATCAGTTCTGGCCAAAGCGTGAAAGCCATTCAGGAGTGAGCCCGGGACTTCGGCTCTTAATAAAGCGATCCCCGGACACCAGCAAATTCCCTCAAAGTATGCCTCAAGCCAAACGCAACCTGATTAATATAAAACGAGCAATAGTTCATTTTAAAAAATGGATTCCATCCTTTACAAAAATGTCTGCACAAACAATAAGGGCTTCTAATAAAAGCATCACGTTTCAGAATTCTAAAAGTGATGCTTATAGAAGAAACACAAGCCACTTTTCAGGCTCAGAGAAGTCAGGCACCTTGGCCAGAGTCACCTGTCTGAGCCGGAATTCCAACTCAGCTCCGCCAGACTCGGAGCTGAAGCTCTCTAACCACTGTGCGCACACCGAGCAACTCATTCCTTATCCAGAGAAGAGTGACTGTCCGCTCCGAGTCCCCCTAAAAGTGATGCTTATAGAAGAAACACAAGCCACTTTTCAGGCTCAGAGAAGTCAGGCACCTTGGCCAGAGTCACCTGTCTGAGCCGGAATTCCAACTCAGCTCCGCCAGACTCGGAGCTGAAGCTCTCTAACCACTGTGCGCACACCGAGCAACTCATTCCTTATCCAGAGAAGAGTGACTGTCCGTTCTGAGTCCCCCCCGCAGATGCTGGCTGGGCCTCTTACACACACCTGCCGCTCCGGGCCCACCACCAACCATCTCTGCCTCCGACCTCTGCCGCTGCCACCTTTTGTCTGTAGTGTTCTCTCCACCACAACCTGGCTGGGCCTCTTACACACACCTGCCGCTCCGGCCCCACCACTAACCGTCTCTGCCTCCGACCTCTGCCACTGTCACCTTTTGTCTGTGGTGCTCTCTCCACCACAGCGTCACTAACAGTCGGGTCTTGGCTTCGATGTCTGCTTCTGGAAGAGGCTTTCTTTGTCACCCTCTCCTCCAACAACTGGCCCAACCCTCCCGGGCCACTGCACTATACATCTGCCACAGAGCCACTGTTGTCGCTGAAATGTCCTATCTGTTCATGTGTTTGTCTGTTCCCCTACTAAACCGTCAGCACGGTAGCATCGGGGACCTCATCCAGCTTGCCTGTCACACCCTCACAACGATCTCGAGGAACGCTGGGACCGAGCAGCGGCCATAAACGTTCACTGTGCAACTCAGAATCCTGCCGTGCGTTCTACCGTGCTCCCAGCATCCATGAGGCCCAGCAACTTAAAAGATCAAAGAGTCCAAATGTTTAAGAGAAAGGAAACCCAAGTCAAATATTCTGAACATTCGAACTGATAAACACATATATAAAATCCAACCCCCACTTAATTCCAAAACGGACTTGTTGCACTCCGGGCCCTAAATTGCTTGGTCTGCTATTAATCAAATACTTTTTTCACACTATACATGCAGATGTGAAAGTCTGGCGTGTGGGTTGAGAAAACTAATAACATGAGTGTGTACAGAAATGATCAGCACCGCACGATAAGGCAGTGTTGAGTCTGGAGCTATCATTTGTGCAACCCTTGCTCAGTTTCATCCAGAATCTTCCTTTGAAGGACATACGGGCTATTGTATAACTCTGGGCTGCGTTCTGCTATTTTATGTGCAGATGCCTCTGGCTATTCTGTGAATTTTAATTAACTCCCTGTTTATTTTGTTTCAACCCCCTGGCTCTTGAAGCAGAGGTCTAGTTGCTCTTCCAAGAAAAACACTTTTGAAGCCAACTTCCCAGAAAGTTCTCCCAAAGGTGTCCCCCTCCTTCCCTTGAAAATCATTAAGCCCTGTTCACTTCAAGTTCACTCGGAGCAAACACTTCACCTTGGACTCTCTCCACTGGCACAGAAGCAAAACGTCTACGGCTCCACCACCAGAGGGGTCGAGTGGGTGTGTGGAGCGGGGAGTGCGAGAGCCGGAGAGGGAGGATGCTAATTAGAGGGGCGACTGCAAACAAGGGGAGTTTGCGGCCAGGGAGATGGCGAAATCGGCCTCAGGACCCCCACCCAGGACAATCAGCATGAACCGGTCAACTAAATCTTATCAGCTCATTGGTTAACTGCCAAGTTCTTCATTTGTTTATATATATTCATTCATCTATATTATATATCATATGTATGTTCTACGTATCATTTGTACATACGCGTGTATATGTATACTGTATACATATGTATACTGTATGTGTATATGTACATATAGTTAGTAAGTACTATACTATATACGAAGCGGGCGCCACAAAAGCGGTATATATGCATATATGTGTAATGCATATATATTGCTATGTGG